GAATCGTTTTTCTGTATGGTGTACCAATAATAACCTTTCTTTAAATGTAAAGAAATGTAAAGTAGTCTCATTTAGCAGATCTAAAAATCATCACAATAACAATTATTTGCTCAATTCTGAACAGCTTGAGAGACAGTCCCTGATGAAGGATCTCAGTGTTTGGTTTGACTCCGAACTCACTTTTACTCATCACATGGATGTAATAACCAACAGAGCAATGTGTTTGCTGGGATTTGTCTTCCGAACGCTACAAGGATTTGAGAATATTTTTACATTCAAGTTGCTTTATTGTGCTCTTGTCCGCTCAATCCTGGAATATGCCAGCTGCGTTTGGCAACCATGCTATGATGTACATAAAAAAAGGTTGGAGAGAATTCAGCATACATTTCTGAGAAGAACAGCATTCAAACTACACATACCAGTTGAGGAAATAAACTATACTGACATTATGAAACTATTAGATTTGGCATCACTGGAAAACAGAAGAAAATTTTTTGACATCTCCATCTTCCCCTCGCTATGACACTTACTATCTTCTTCTCTCTTATCGAAATCAAGACAGGACGCGAATAGAGAAAGAGATATTGGTCGCTATTCACTACAGAGTCCCAGCCCTGGCAGCTATTGGCATTCATGTTTCTCCAATGAACGTTAGAAATAAGATTTTATTTAATGCTCGATTTAATGTTGATTTTCATAGAACTAACTATGGTAGTAATTCACCATTATGTAGAATGTCAAAGTTGACAAATGATGTTTTATCAAAATGTGACATAGGTAGATATGTTTGACCAGTCATATCATGGATTTTCGGCTAAACTAATAGTCTAAGATCCGAATAGGAAAGGATTTGCACCCATCTGTTTATTGGGTAAAAATTATTTTATATCAAAGTTAGTATGTTAAAAAAAATATCAGGTGTGGGTTGGCTAAAAAATTCCTGGCCAGACTATTATTAATAAATAATTCAAAAATTATAATAGACCTATCTATTTTACCAGACAAAGAGGTAATAATACGAAAACTGCATTAGATAAAAAAAGACGCAGAACGCTTATTGCGCAAGACGAGGCCAAACGTGCCAAATTATGTTAAGGCGATTTTCAGTCTGGAATGATTATTATTTGGTTATAACCAATGCATTTCCGCCGTCGTGGTTTTAACTAAAGTAGGGGAAGTTGTGACGTCACATATCAGCTGATTTGCTTTTGGTATTAACCACTTATTACCGATTATAACCCAGCTTTGAACTTGGGTTAATCTTTTGGTTACAGCTTTTTGATGTTATTGTTATTATTTTTGGAATTTGTATTGGTGTTTTGTGATTTTGCAGTTGCGTTGTAGCCTGGGCACAATGAAAGAAGTATACATTCACTCACTCAATGCAATTCATCATGTTTAGATCGAGGTTTAGATCATCCCCAAAGAAAATCTGTTCGATAAACGAGACTTACGAGAGATTCAGCTCCATTTTTTGTACCTAAACAAAAAACTATTGTTGAAACGAAAAAACAAATAAGAATAATAAACATAATCCTACACTGCTATAAACAAATCATTTCAGCGGTCAGTTCCTTGGGTTATGATTCTTGAATGGTGGGGGGTTATGATTCTTGAATGGTGGGGGGCTATGACGTCAAACTTGGCTGTCAAAGTTGTCAACCAAAAGAATAACCACGGTATTTACCGATAAATAATCATTCCAGGCTGAAAATCGCCTTTAGAAGTCTAAAGTAATACGTAAGTACGTATAGCAATCCGTTCTTATTATTTGCACGGGATAAAAAAGGAAGCAGGAAAACCGCGTGACATGCAACGTATCTGTCAATCAAAAACACAAACAATAGAAAATCGATCACTTGTCAAGCTACGTCAAGTTGAATATCAAGCATAATTTTATCCTTGTCAGACCACGGGCAATGAACAAGGACAAGGAGATGCCCAGCGTGCAAAAGAATTACTTCACACCTGTACTAGTTAGCCAATAAAAATGCATTGCCTCGTGTTGCGCGCGCATACAGGTAAAAATAGATAGGTCTATTGTTAAAGGCATTGCACTCATTTGTTTAACGAACAAATTCCATACTAGTCGAAAGTATAGGGCCTAAAGAATATAAAAACGTTGGATTGTCTATTTTTTTCCTAGCATAACTATCGGGTTGGCAGGTTTGAACAGGTGAGTCGATACTAGTAATTCACACCCATCTGTTTAATGAATAAATCTTATTTCAAAAAAAAAGTTATTTTATTGCGAACACGATGATATAGGGTTGTCTACGAAAAACCTGGCCTGAATGACGGTTGGCGAGCTTTGAAAAGCGAAATTTTGGTGCGGATGGAAATATGCGACAGAGTGGTGTATGATTTATACATTAAACAGATGGGTGTAAATTACTAGTGGTTTAACAATCTACGTTTCTTGAAAATCGATCCCATAACATCAAAGTCAATTTTCCTATTTTTCCTCTATCTGGTCTGAAAGTATGTTTTTCCTGTTTTTCCTGCACTCCAAATTGCAGCACCCTGTACATGCAAGAAATTTTAAAAATTCTGACAACTTCCGAAGATATTCGTAAAAAACCGAAATTTCCCGAATTTCGGAAAATATCGTTTTTTCCGAATATCTCTCGAAATTGTCAATTTTTTTGAAATTTGTTGGATGCTTTTGTTAGTCATTAAATAGCGCAACTTTTTTCCTATCTAACCATTGCCCTATCTGTTACCGTTTACGAGATCCCCATGATAGACATCCTTATCTTGGACACCCTGTATATGTATAGGGCTGTCGTTATGCATGAAAACGGCCTAATATTCCAGAACGAGCTCAAGAAAAATATTTTTCTGTATTTCCTACCTGGGGGTTTTTTGGAATGCCCGATTGCAATGTTGCCAAGTTTACCCTCGGATTAAACTATTTAAGGTAAGTGTAGCAGTGGGGAACTACCAAGGGCAATACCGAATGCCACCGAGAAATGGTTGAATTATGATTTGCTGTTGGACGTCAACTGCACAATGTGATTCCAAGTGGATTAAGCCTACTGGGTCATAAAGGAATAGCCGAATGCTAAAGAACTTTGCCAGGCAAACCTTAGGATTTAGATTTCTGAAAACTTTGAAAGGTCATAACTTTTTTTCTATAATAGATAAAAAGTTGAAATTTTCAGCGATTCTTATTCTCGCCTCTGCAACATTTTTTTTGCACGTCAAAAAAGCGACAAATTATTCACTCAGTAAAACTTCTGTAGGAATATCGGGTAACGTTGGTAGTGCTAACTTGATATCAAGTTAGCACTAAGTAGCAGGGTATTTAAGAAGAAAAAAAAACGCGACAATTTTTTTTCGCACGACAAAAAAGCGACATATTAATCACTTAAGGCCATTTTCCGGCGTGCATGTGGTATTGCTAACGTGATAGAGGTTCCTAGGCAACATGTCAACACACATTTTAAGACCCAACACAACTATACCGTTTTTGTCAAAGCAAAAAAATAAAAGCTAAAAACACGGCGATATTAAAACACATCCGCACGGCCCGAGAACTGAAACTGGAAATGTCATACGTATTGTTGCTTTTTCAAAGCTCCATATTTCTAAATTAGTAGATTGATTTTGAAAAACTAAGCAGCAATGTATAGGAAATTGGAAGCCCTCTTTAATGAGGTCTTAGCTGACACCAGTCCCTTATAAAAAAATTTGGGGGATGGCTCCGGGGATGACACCCCCACTTAGGGGATAGAAGATTTTGCTAGGCTTCTTACGTTTTTTACGTCAAAAATTGTCCCTCTGACAAAGTTGATGTGCTTTTGGATTTTGTCAAAAAGATCTTTCCCAGTCTGTAATGCCTTCAATGAGCCACTTTGTATAGAGGCTGTAAACAAAAATGGTAAGAATTTCAAACAATCAATTTGGAAACAATGCAGCTATGATTTTTCTAAAAACAAAACAGAGTTGTGAAAATTTACGAACTTCCAGGATAATTTTTTAAGCTTAAAATGAGGCTTAAATGATTGATTATTGCTCAATATCGGCGATAGGGAGCCTCTCAGAGAGCCTGCTATCGAGGGAAAAACCCAAAACTATACTTTTTGAAAATAAACTTGACAGAGAAAAGGATTATTTTTAGTTGAAAAAAAAAACCTAATGTCTTCTTTTCACCAGGGTTGTTACAAGCTGCACAATTGTGTAGTTTGCTACACAATTGGAATATCGATTACACAGATACACTCCAATGACCAATTTCATCTGTCTGCTAAACTTTTTAATAAACTGCACAGAAATGCTACACAATGGATAAATCACCAATTCCGTAACTCAAAATTCCTACAGCGGTAGTGAATTAAGCCACTTCTGCAAAGTGGCAAAAAATATCGCAAGCGTTCAGTGTCAGAGTCGAGATCTATGGGTCCGGATTCTGAACCCACGATTTAATAGTACCTATCGCCCATGAGGTCTGTTTCAGCAGAAATCACAAACCAGTCAGAGTGAATTTCATTGGTTGAAACTAGTTTTCTGACTGTTTCTGTCCAATGAAATTCGCTCTGACTGGTTTGTGATTTCTGCAGAAACAGAGACCTCATATAAATATAAGGTCTGTTTCCACAGAAATCACAAACCTGTCAGAGCGTTTTTGATTGGTCCAAATCGCCAACAACCAGTTTCCTGATTATTTTCTCCCAATGAAATTCGCTGTGACTGGCTTATGATTTCTGTGGAAACAGACCTAAGATAGACGTTACTACCGAATTGTGGGTTCTGAATTCGGGCACTGGTTCTATAGCTGTGCTCGCAAAGCAAAAGATGTCGCGAGCGTCTGCTGTTAGATGCCTATTTGATTGTCAGATTGACAGTGCACAATTGCTTGAATTGCTACACAGTTTCAATGTGGAAAACAACACATTCAAAAATTGGTCTGTAACAACCCTGCTTTTCACATTCACAATAAAAATAATAAAAGAAAGAACCCTATGATTACTTAATGCTATTTGTATAAAAGTTTTTACCTTGTTTACGTGAGAGCTTATATGCAGGCGTAACTCTGGTAACTGACACCAAGGATTTTAACAAAATTCCCATTCTGTTATAGATATTTTGCCCATTGTTATTAGTGCCAGTGTCATAAGGGTCCAATAACCTAGCACACCAAGTTTCCAGGACCATATTATCACCTTCCGCAGTTCTCAGCGATATTTCAATACAAAAAGGGAATTTTTTCGTCAGAAATAAATCACTGTTGAGGACTTTTTTGGCTTCAATTACGACTTCGGGAAGGTCATTTATGTTTAAGTTGAACTGGAACAATTGTTTACAATTATGCTGTGTAAACTAAGACAATTGCATGGTAATTTTCCTATGAACTAGATGGCGCCCCTCGGGGCAGGCCAGACTCATTTGGCTTATAGAATTTGCTTTGATTTACATCAGAAAATACTTTTAGGTCAGTGTGATGGTGGGTTTATCCAACAAATAAAATAAAATAAAAAATAAATTAAAATAAAAATTAAGAGCCTTATTTTTTATAGTTCATCCAAAACTAAAAAAAATAAATAAGAATGAAAAGAACCAATGGGATTCGCAATGAGAAATGCCTTTATCAATAATATAAGTAATATATTATCGAGTATATTGTTAAATGATAATACATTTTCAATACTTATGTTCTTGTCTAATGAAAATACACCCCATTTCATATAACAACAAATGAAAAAAAAAAAAAATACCTATAAGCCAACAAAATTAAGCGCAATATTGATGTCCCCTAAAATAAATATATAAAATAATACCTCTTAAAGCCTAGTACTCATAACTGCGAATTCCGGAAAGCGACAGCACACGACTAAAAAATGAAGTTTGGACCATGTGTGGCCGCCACGCCATCTTGAATGTCATGTGGTATGGATTGCCTAATGCACGCTGATGCATGAGTATGGTCCAAAAATAATTTATATTGGATCCTGTTTCAGGATCATTTATTATCAATTCTTCCATATTTGTCAGAAAATTTAAATTTGATAAATAATACTTTGATAAACTATGAACTAAAACAAGCAAAATATTTGTTACGTCGCTTTTCACCGCTGAAAGAGAAAATAAAATAAAAAATAAACAAAGATGGCAACAAAAAGCACTGAGAATTTCGCAAAAAGTTGAAATTTATTTAACTTTAATTTTCCACCGCAAAAAGTTAAAAATATCCTCAATACTTTCGCGCCCTGTCAACTTCAAATATACTCAACCAACAGCAAAAATCCGTAAAATAAAAATCCGCAGTTCGCGGTTATAAGTACTAGACTTAACTCTTATTCTTATATAATTTATTTCTTATTTTATTTTATTTGTTGGATAAACCCACCATTTAGCCCAGGGTCGATCCAGTCAAACCATGAACAAATTAGAGACAAGCTGAAATTTGATATATAATATAAGTTTGTATTGGGGTCCTTATTAAACCACCAAACCCCACCGGTAATCGGCCGTGCCTGTCACCCCTAAACAACCCCTTAAAGGGGTGAAAATCGGACGTTTTTAAAAGTTTTTTGGCAATATCTTAAAAACGAAGCTATTAACGAAGAAATTTCAAGGTAGAATAATTAAAGGGTATAAAATTTCCTTTAAAATCACGTTTAGCAGTTATATTTTGCTTCACCAGTAGCGAAGTTATGATATTTTCAATAACTCTGTATTTTGTAAAAATACCTCGAAAAATAGTCTCCGTCCATTACTTGGATTTTTATATCAAATATATCTAACAATCCATAGCAATATTTTGGTGAATACATTTAAAATATTCTTAAGTCAATAAATTAGAAATAGGATACCAGTGGAGTACAAGTAGGAACTATATGTACAGGGTGTCCCACGGTGGATAGCATATTAGATGTTTATGGAGAACCAAAAAGCGGATCATTTTGAAAATTTGGCAACCAGGATAAACGACCATGATCTACCCAGTGGCAACATCGCTATTTTGAATGGAACACCCTATATGTGATTGCATATTTGGATTCTACATAAAATTCTGAGCAGATATATTATTGACAGTTGAAAATTGACTTTTTGCAACTTTGACAGGCTGTAAAACCTGAACGGTTAATTTTAGAGGAAAACCGATTTTATATTTCTATCTTAGATTTTTATAAACTATCATTTGACACCAACTTAAAACTTAATCCATGATTAAAAATTCCAATTGAATTTAATCTCCAGTTAAATTCAAAGTTGGTGTCAAATGATAGTTTATGAAAATCTAAGACAGGAATGTAAAATCGGTTTTCCTCTAAAATTAACCGTTTAGGTTTTACAGCCTGTCTAAGTTGCAAAAAGTCAATTATCAACTGTCAATATTTCCAAAACAGTTGAACTTAGGTATAGGGTATGGTATATCACATGAAATCTGCTCAGAATTTTATGTAGGATCCAAATATGCAATCAAATACGGGGTGTTCCATTTAAAATAGCGATGTTGCCACTGGTTTAAAGTAGAAGCGGCAACACCGCATAAACAAAAATATTTTTAAAGTGTAGATTATGGTCGTTTATCCCGGTTGCCAAATTTTCAAAATGATCAGCTTTTTAGTTTTCCATTAACGTCTAATACGCCATCCACCGTGGGACACCCTGTATTTCTAATTTCATACATTAATTTGTATGAGTTAATAGAATTAATATTTATACTACGTGCGTATTAAATGTATCAAAATAATTATTTTAAATATCCGTGGAATTTCTGCTTTTAATTACTCCTTATCTGCATGTTAGGAGATGTCATCCGCATGCGCCTGTATATCCTCAACTGTCTTGTTAAAATAGGTAAAACCATATTGTCACAGCCTCCTAACTATAGGAGGCTGTGATATTGTCCACATGCTAAGGTACACTATAGGCCCATTTTACGATTTGAGCAAGAGCAAAAAATACCTAGGTCAATAATGGAAATGACGTCATTACGCAAGGATATTGTCATAACGTAACAGGTTTCTATTGGTTTAATTTCAATTTCAAACTGTCAATTTTTAAAAAAGCAGGTTCCTGTATGTACATTGTAGGAAATTACCGTAAGCTGTTGATAGAAGGCAGCACTTCCGACAAGAGAAAATAATTTGAGCACAGGTTTCAAAGTTATTTTTTATTTTCTACTAGCAGTAGTAAAAAAAATTCTATATATTCCTCGGTGGAGAAAGTCATTATATACCGGGCGCTTTTATAAAACGCAGTGGATAGAGGTCCGAAAATTCGGATCTCTAGTGTTCATACTAAAGATCCGATAATTTTCGGATTTTCAATTTGTATATTAGGGGTCCGAAAATGCGGATCTTTAGTGGTAATTGAAGATCCGAAAATAGATGTTTATTTCTAATTCTGTTTAATTAAGGAATATTATCGTCGCAAGTATCTACAAAGAATAATATTCGAGATAAGTCTGTTTCTGCAGAAATCACAAACCAGTCAGAGTGAATTTTATTGGTTGAAACTAATTTTCTGACTGTTTTTGACTATTTTTAACCAATATTTGCTCTGACTGGTTGGTGATTTCTACAGAAACAGACCTATCTGGAATATTATTCTTTGTTAATATTTGCAACGCCATTTTAATGGAACTAGCCCAAGAACCAAATACTACTGCACAAAATCAATCAGAAGAAAAAATAAAAAGTACCTATTAATTTTCCTTTAAAACTTGCCCATAAAGGAAGACCCATAAAAGTGTTTTATTCAAAAATGAAGTTCCTAAACTGAGGCAGATAATGCTTAATGCAATTTTAAATACAGAAGATTTGGAAAGAAAACATTCCTCATCATCAACAAATTGATCCTCTTGAAGAAGAAATATCTTTAGCAGAAATAGAAGCATATGTTTGTCAGGATTCTTATGTTTTATTACAAAAACGAATTGAAAAAAAAACCAAATAGTATTTTAAAATGGATTTGTGATATATGTAACAAAGTGATACATGAAGATTGCTTACGACGGTGTGATTCATGTCTTCGGTGTGCTGTTCAGTAACAGAGCTGCCTTCTAGTGAGAAAGCCTGGTTTTGCATGCAGTGCAGAAGGAACTTAATCACACCTCTCACCCTATCAACCCTTAAAATAAACAAATATTTATTTTTATTTATGTATTGTTTTGAAAGAAAAAAGGTAAGTACTTAGTTTTGTTTTTTGTACTTTTTTGTTTGAAATTGCACCAACCAAATATTTTCGAGTAAACTTGATTAGCTATTCTGCATAAAAAAGATTAGAGGATCCATTTTTTCTAGTATCAATCCTAAAAAATATAAGCAAATTTTATAATATTCCTTAATTACGACAGAATTAGAAATAAACATCTATTTTCGAATCTTATTACCACTAAAGATCCGCATTTTCGGACCCCTAATATACAAATTGAAAATCCGAAAATTATCGGATCTTTAGTATGAACACTAGAGATCCGAATTTTCGGACCTCTATCCACTGCCTTTATAAAAGCGCTCGGTATATAATGGCCAACTCTCTACCTAGGTATATAATATACTATTAAAAATAATTTCGGTCGCGTGGGGTCCAAAATATCCCAGACGATATTTTGGATAACAAGACGGCGTGAACCCTAGAAAAAAGGAGCTACAGTACGATCAGCGGTACTCAGCAGACTACCGGCAAAGATTATCAGCAAGGATTTACACCCAGCTAGCGACGCCGCACTACCCTCCAATAATTCATCTCCAAATCAATCGCGGAGTCCAAAATAACCGTATTCCAGTGTTAAAGGTCCCAACTTTGCAAAATACGGTTGTGAAAATTTTATTCAATTTTGACAGACTCACAAATTCAGCTATATTATATGAAGAGCTAAACATAAGTCCGATAATTAAAATATATGAATTCGAGCAGGATAAACTTATGCATAAAATATTAAAACAAAGTCAGAAGAGCAATATTAATATTATTTTATCGAATGATGTACACCACTATAATACCAGAACCAACTGTGATATTTACCAAATTGTAACTAAAACTAATATAGGTCTCAATAATCCAATAGTCCGAGCTTCCAAATCTTATAATAAGGTACCTGGAGGAATTAAAAATGTAAGAAATTTCAATACATTTGTAAAAAAGCTTAAGCAACACTTAGACATAAGGTAAACAAAAACTGAGATTATTTTCTCAAGACCAGTGCTTACAGGCACTGTTTAGAGAAATTGTATTATTGTTATTGTAATGAATGATTTAAGAAATAAACGATTTTCAAAAAAAAAACTTATCCTGCACCCTATTTATTGTTAAATATTATATTTACTGCAAAAATC